AAAGAGTTTGAATTTTCCCTTATCGTGTAAGGCTCTAATCTCTGAATTTTTAAAATATTTCTCTGTATGATGATCTATATGACAAGGCAAACACAGGTTGACTGCCGTAGGGATTTATTCGGTGATGGTCCTGGAAAGCGTCATAAAGTATTGACTTCAAAACATCTCTGCCACTCAAATTAAGAATTTGTAAAACGGTTTTGGAACTTTGTTCTTTTGCAGTTTAATTCATAATAGTGGTGTTAAACACTTGTGTTTATAATCTGAAATTTTCTTAAACTGTGCAGAAAGCAAAAGACAAACACTAGGAGTCTAATTTGTTTTTCACGGTGTTAGCAATGTATATAGCTTTCTTACGAAAATGCTAGCATTGTGTTTTTCAGTTTGTATCTGTACAACAGTTATAACAGCCTTTAAAATGCTTTTATTATATAACATTTTATTTCAAAACATATTTGTTTAATTGTTTGCAAATAAAAGACTTTTCAAGTGTGTGTTTGGGTTCAGGGTAAGAAATTTGAAAATAGAAGCCCAAAGCAAGTTTTCAGGGCTGCTAGATAGAAACAAAAAGTAATTTCATAATGTACATTGCAAATGTATGAGGACATTTTCTTTAGGAGTTGTGTGTCTGAATTTATTGCAGTCCCATTTCAAAGGTATTAATGAGATACTGAATCACCTCTATGTTGACATACGAACACCTTTTGTTTTCCTCTGTGGATTTTTTTAAGTTCTATGCATCTGAAAAGTTGTTTGGAAAATTAGTAAGAAACAGTTACAAATGCGTGATAAACCTACATTTTAAAAAACTGTATGTTGAACCTCTTCAGTGCTAGGTCATGCTGAAATCTTACTTAAGGTCATTTTGACTACTAAGATGATGGAAGTGGACTCGTAGGTGGTAACCATAAAAATTGTCACCAGGAAGAACGAGAGTAAGAAATGGGAAAGCCTTGAACTTTCTGTTATCTAGATGGCTTGCAAATGACAAAACATTGCATAACTGTTTATGTGGAGAAAACGCACTCTGAAAGCAGTGCCAATGATAGCACGTCACAGAGGTTGCGTTTCCCTTGCTCCATAGATTGTTAAGAAACAGTTCTGGTAGTTATAGGAGCAGCTGGTTGTGGTTACAGATTTATCCCTGTCAAAATAGGTACGAATTACCTGAGCTACCGGTGTAACACTTTTCTAAATGTTGCAAGTCTGTAGGTTCCAAGATGTAGTTACTATAAAGTTATAAAATAGTTTGTGTTCTGCAAGTCATGTAGTCTTGTTTTAGTTTTGTGTTCTGTCCTCTGGGATGACTTAGAAAGAGGCAAGGGCTTGCACAGATGCCAGTCAGAAGTATCTGAAATTACTTAAGGGAGGAAGGGTTGTGTTGTTAAAATCTTGGAGAATTAATTGTAAATCTGATGCTATCAGGGGAATATGAAACGTTTACTGCTAGGTGTAGAGCTCTGATTGACATTGTCATATGACAAAATCCTGGATACTTCCGTGTATTTCGTAACGCAGCAAACAGTTCTTCACTTAGCAGTGTTGCAAATGTAAGTGCCATTGCATTTTACCAAAAAAGTAGGTTTAAGGCCTGTGACTTTTTTTTTTGCCTGTGACTTTTCAGTTTAATTTCTAGGAGAGGAGTCTTCCCTCTTTCTCGCCTTTCAGTTTCACTTTGTATTTAAATTTCCAAAAACTCCTTTTACCTTTCAGTAATGGATGAAATGTACTTTACTGGGCATGTTTATTGTTGAACTTTATTTAATATTTCAAATATTCTGTGCAATTTCTTTATAGAAACGATTACAAAAAGAACTATTGGCATTGCAGAATGATCCACCTCCAGGAATGACTCTAAATGAAAAGAGTGTACAAAATTCAATTACACAGTAAGTATACATACTGTTTTATTTTTGCTATTAAGCTGAAAAGTGTAAATAATGAGAAGTCCTCTGCATGCCATTTTCACTACTTCTTCCAACTAACATTCTGAATTTCTGCTTTCAGTCTAGGGAGTGAAACATTTTTCTACTTAATGAGGGTATTGCGGTAACATGCTGAACACTCTCAGGAACTGCACAGTAAATTCGTTAAATTTTTCTTAGGCATTTTACTGTCCAACAAAATGTCAATTGGTAAAAGCATCTGCATATTTTAAAATAAAATAGTTTAACAATCTCTCATAACTACTAACCTCTGAAACCCCTTTAAATTTATTGGAATAATGGAGTAGCTGGTTTAAAGTTTCTGTATTGTTTGTGTCGAGTGTATTTTGTAGCTGTTAATATTCATTACCTTCTTTCTCTAAGTCAAGGAAGCTTCTTAGAGCAAAGTTATCTAAGTACATTTCTTTGCACTTTCATCCCTACTGCAGTTTTTTTTTCTTTGATTTGCAAAATGGAAAGAGAAACGTGGTTAAATATTGTGTTCTGTCCATTTAAATGGACAGGTGTTGTTCCTGGTATTTAAACTATGTTTTAATAGACTGAAATTGAAAATAGGTAGACTGTGTTGACATTTCTTTTAGATAATTTTCTTAGTTTAATTTTGCAGAAATGTTAAAAAAATTCTTAGCAGATGTAAACATTTATGAAAGTATGAATCTCAGGCTATATGTTCTCGGCTATATTATTGATTGATGGATCAATTTAAAAGCAACATAGAGCTGACTTCTGATGTTGCTTCACATCTGCGTTTTTGGTGGTAGCACTCAGACCACATTATGTGTGGCTTTTCTGAGTGTTGCGTATACTGAGTTAAACACTGCTGTTGCTTTTTAAATGATGCTGGTTTTTGTGATAGTTCATGCAGATGAATATGACTAAAACAAATTGAAATAACACTTTCCAGAGTTTGGTAAAAATAATAATAAACTCTGTACAACTTCTGAATTACAGGTTTTATTTCTTACTTTTACTTTGGATGTTCTTTGGTGTCATGGTTTGGGCTGGACTGGCCCCTGAAGCAAAATACTTAAATTTTCTGGGGAAAAAAAAAGGACCCAGACTATTATTGCAAGTATTTTTCGCTCATTTAAACAAACAAACAAAAAAACCCAACAAACCAACCCAGCTATTAAGTGAAAGTTTACAGCAGATAAACAGATGAAAAAGGAAAAAAAAAATCTTGTTTTTTTTCTTTCTCTTTATGGATTACCATCTTTCTTAGGATATCTCTGTTCCCAGAGTACTATCTCATTAGGGTTTTTTCTGCCATGTACAATTTTTATACCTTACAATACCTTACAAATAAAAAAATTCCTCTTTACTGTCATGCTAGATTTTGGAATTGTCACTGTTTAAGAAGCTTTCTGTCACAAGTAACATTTCATTTTTTTCTTTTTGAGGGTTTTGATGAGAAGTAGTGTGTTCTGAGTTCATTAATCAAGTTGCGGTTTGAACTGATGCAGTAAAGATTTGTGTAGCAATACTAGCTTGGTTTTGAAAGATATTGAATAAAATAATTGGATCCCATGATGTAACTGGGTCATTTGAAATGTTAAGCAATCATTTATTTTAAATACACAAGGATTAGAAATTTGAGATGGCTGAACCGTAAAGCACACAGGAAAGACGGGTTCTAGTGATTTCTTGACCATAAAAGGAACAATGTTCAGGCAGAGTTATCTTCTACTTAGTAAATGAAACTATCTTAAAAACTTGAAAGTGAAGGTTTCTGCATCACAAGGACCAATAAAGCTGAAGAATATCGGTGCAGCATTTGTATAAATGTAAGAGCAGAAGGTGTTAAAAGAGATAAGTGTCCTGGAGAGCAAATAGAATAAATTGAAGAAGTCTTCACAAAATTAAAATATGGAACGCTAGTACAGCCGTCATCATGCTACTGTTGAAGGTACATTCCTCCTGAAGAGTGTGACAGCTAGCAGTTCAGTAGAGAAGCAATTTTTCTCAGGGAAAGAAAAAGAGTAATAGAGGGGGAGCTATAAAATGTGTGCAGCTTAAATACATGCAGAGAGTGTATATGACAGGGGGATAGAGAGATTGGGAATAGGATCATCGGACTGCCATGTGGAAGAGACATCGACTTTTCTGTACATGTTGCTGTTCTGAAAAATCTCAACTGCCTCACTTGAGTCTAATGTAAATCTTAAGTATTTTTGTAGTCTCTTGCTGAATCTTCATGTTATTGTATTGCTCAAATGTGTAAAACTCAATCAAGGGTGAAAGACAAAAATGGGGAAGCGATACTGCAAAGAATGGTATTGTGATGAACAACAGAACTCCAAAATGACAGAAGTTAGATAGCAGAGTGTTGCTGTATGTGTTGAACAATATGCAAAGCATCTGTTTTTGACTGGATTTTAAAAAAAAGCCAACAACCCAACCCAAAACCAACCACAGCAAAAAACCTACACCCGACACCTCCCAGTTCCCCCAACTCCACCTGTCAGTTACTTCCATATTATTGTGATGGAAGGAGCAGAAGAATAATAATACTGTAATATGTTGAGGCGTTATCTTTATTACAGTTGCAAAGCTGCCTTTTTTTTTTCTTTTCTGTGACCTTTTCCTTTTTATATTATTAACTTTTCCAGTTTTGGTTCCATTACTTGCCAGGTTATATACCATTTAATTTCTGAGTTTTTCACAGGTGTAAGTGCAAGAAGAGCATTCCCATTCCTCATTGGATAAAGGTTTTATTTTAATAAACTGTATTGGTGATTTCCTTGACAGAAAAGTAAAACAACATGGAAGAGAATACGTACTAGTTTGTTTCCTTCCAAGCCTGTTTTTGTATAGGAATAAACTTAGGAACACATGTTTTGTTTCAGCTTTGTTGTCTCACGTTAACGGTCATTTTATTGGGAACTGATGGATCTGTGTTGAGTTCATGTCATAATTTCTTGTATAATTTGTGGCACTATATTAATGACTGTATGTAAAATACCAAGCTTTTTTCTTTTAAATGCAGGCTTGATGTGTTGTTCACTTTTGTGATAGTTGTGATACTAATGGAGAGTTCAGAAGATTTGGTTGTGATTGGTAACTGATTTGATTAGCCCTGTGCTCCAGGAGTAAAATTACGATTTGTCAGTCCACAATACTAACGGTTTTTTCCCATTCCTTAGGTGGATTGTAGACATGGAAGGTGCTCCAGGAACACTATATGAAGGGGAGAAATTTCAGCTTCTATTTAAGTTCAGTAGTCGGTATCCTTTTGATTCGCCTCAGGTAACTGCTTGCTTACTTCTTCCTTAATGCTCCCTTTAGGTTATAGCTGCATGACACGTGCTGAATATTAGTATCATCCACGTATCCTAATGTGAGGTTTAGTTACTTTAATTTGTATTAAACACATTGTGCAGATGCCTTTTCTTTTAAAAATGACTCTGCAGTGAGGTACAGTGCTGTGACAGTCTACTTGGTTTCATAGGTGATGAAAGAGCAGTGTAAACTGGAGGCTTCTCTGAGGTTGGTATTTATATCATGTGAAAGAGCAACACAGGGTTAAGTAGGGAGGTCCCCTTCACTGCATTGTAGTAGAATAAACAAAGAACTGCTTCTTCATCCCCTCTCTTTTTGCTTCCAATGCCTTTTTTTTTTTTAGTTTGTTTCTACGACTCTTTCATCTTCTCTGCTGCCATTTGTAATACAGCTGGGGAAAATACTGTATACTTGTGGTAGGGATTCGCATAGATACATGACATCTTTAAGAGAAGCTTGCAAATCTAGTGGTTGTAATTGAGGTGTGAGATACTGTGTTGCTTTCATGGCGACATGAAGAACTGAAGGGGCAACAATACTACTAGGCTGCAGAATGAGCTCTGTACATCCATCCCTCCGTTACCTGAAGGGAATGTTGCACAACGTGGCTGGTAAGTCACCGCCGCTCCTCTGAGAAAGGACGAAGGAAAGCAAGAGTGCCTTAGGTCTCATCCTGTTTGTTACAACTTATTCCAAGAGTGATCTCTGACACTTTTCTCATTGGTGTTGAAACTGAAGCACAGAGCTGTGAGAGACACTTAAACTATAAATGTGTTTTTAGGTACCATGATAAAAACTAGAATGCTGAAACTTCAGTCTTAGATTCTAAGGAACAAACTGGCCACCTGTACTTCTGTACCCCATCAGGTTTGCAGTGAACTCCTCATAGGTGACTCACAGGAGAGTAGCCACTTTCATTTGGTTCCAAGTAGGTACTGTTTGTAGTCATCACCCAGCGGGTGTTTGAGGCTCCGTGCAATTTATTGTAAAACAGCAAGTTAGATCCATACATGTACACTGATTTTTAGCACAGAAAACAAGTATTTAAGTACTGGATACTTGATTGTTGTAGGTGGCTAGAATTTCCATTATAAAAATGCTGCTGTGCAGGACGTTCATCTGGGTCATAATTCTCTCTCCTGCAAATCTACTTACTGTGAATTGACAGCGTACACTTCTGCTTAATCACTTAGTTGTTTTCTGCCTTTAAATGTACATTGTCTATCATAGCATGCATGCTTTTACTTACCTAGTATGCCTAATTCTGTTTTTTTCTACAAGAAAGACATTAGTTAGAAGTGAAATACATTACTGGGTTATGAAGGTAAGCTCTTCAATGCTTAAGAAATATCAGTTTCACAGAAGCATAGAATACCAGGTTAGAAGGAACCTCTAGGATCATCTGGTCCAACCTTTCTTGGCAAAAGCACAGTCAAGACAAGACAGTCCGGCATTCTGTCCAGCTGAATCTTAAAAGTGTCTGGTGATAGGGAATCCACCACTTCGCTGGGGAGATTATTCCAATGGCTGGTCGTTCTGTTTAAAGACCTATGAAAGATCATTCTGCATCCAGCTTTTGTGCTGCCTTAGAAGCTTATCTGCCATTTGGCAAATAGGTTAAGCCCTCTAATTTCAGTTTCCTGTATGATTGTATTGCTTCTTTCCTGTAGTCAGTGATGAGGTGGGTGTGTTGTGTACGTGTATACATATTTGTACACATACATGTATCTATATAACTTAGGAAACACTTGAGAGGCTTCTGGGTTTTATGGTTATGAGTGGTAGAGATTTATTATGTGACTGCATAAAAGATGACAGTGGTTATGTTGGGAGCTTGGGAGGATAATGCTGCTACAAAGGTTTCACTTTTACTTGATTTTCATTGGTTCTGAGCCAACTATGCATTTGAAAAAAAACTTGATGTAACAGCCATAGTTGTCAAAATTGATTTTCTAAACTTTTTTGACTGTGATATTATCTTTTAATAGAGAGGAGTTAAGGTTCTAAATGCTGTTCTTCTACATTTGTCCATGTGAAATAAAACTGTATTCCATTTGAAATAATGATCTGAAAATACATTTCCTATGTGGTAACATACTTCAGTTGTACAAGTCCTTTATTTTATAGTTAATAGGATTGATGCGTTTTACTCTTTATGCTGGAACCTGGGTGAGTTGTCCAGAACTTAATTTCTGTTGTGTCCAGGGTTATAGAAATCTCATTGTGCTTCCTGGTGCATAACATTGTGGCTTATGAAATCATTAAAATCTAGTGCTTCAGCTAGGCATCTGTATTTCTTAGAACATGAAAGACTGTGGCTCCAAGATATAAAAACTTTATGCTGTTACCTTTGTGTTTTTCTATCCTACATAAATACTCATAGAAAAACCTGACGCTTAACCATTTATTTAACTTCATCTTCACTAGCTATTTAGGCTTGCATTGCTTTATTTTACATTTCAATTAATAGCTTCCAAAAAGGAATGAACCTAACATGGTAAAGTGTATTATTTAGTATAAGTGAAAATGGCAGATCCACTTCTTAAATAGGATGTTATTGTTTTGCCAAAAGCAATACAGTCTTATTTAAAACGTGAATTACAATTACGTGTGTTCTTCTCTTTTTTTTTTTTTTTTTTTTAGGTCATGTTTACTGGAGACAATATTCCTGTTCATCCTCATGTTTATAGCAATGGTCATATCTGTTTATCCATTCTAACAGAAGACTGGTCTCCAGCGCTCTCAGTGCAATCTGTTTGTCTTAGCATTATTAGCATGCTTTCCAGCTGCAAAGAAAAGGTATGGGCTTTTTTAGCACTGTTGGAGCAGAATAAGTAAATTCTACTTTGCTAAGTGAGACTTCAATTTCTCAAATTCTAAAATAGGCAAAACTGCTATATCTACATTGCTACCATTGATAAAATACTAAGCCAGAACTGCAAAATAAACAGTGCAGTGAGTATTTTGTCACTTTTTTAATGGTAATCTGCTCATATATCATTATTGGAAAAGAGGATTGAATGGAACCCTTCCAGTTGTACTAATTGTGGAGTTCAGTCATGTTTTAGGACAATCATTTGTAAATTGATTCAGTCTCAAAAAGTAGTGCAAAATGACTATTGAAATGTCTTTAACGCAGATGTTTGTGCAGCTTTGCAACTGTACTATTTCAGTGATCTTGGTCATTTTCATTTCAGTTAACTAAACGGTTCTAAGCTGCTCTTTTGGTCATAGATGAGTGGCACTGATACCTTTAGGCCTTTTTTTTATAAAGAGCTTACCATTTTACTCCTGACCATTTCTTTCGCAGTGGAATATCTGTGGAAGTTACATGTGGTCAGAGCTTGTACATCTGTTCTATCCAAACATACCTATTTATGTCACTTCCCAGTCAGTCTTTGTCATGTGTATGTGGTAGAAAACCCCCCCAAATGGCTTTGTATTGTATCCTATGACTTTGGTTTTGCATAATGATGACACTTAGGAAAAAAGCTGAAGAATATGAAATATTGGTCAGATATGGATGTTTGGTTTAGTTCATTTTTTTACTCATTCCAAGCTGAGACTTATGGATGTGAATTGGATCTAATATATTAGAATTGGATTCCAAACTGCGAAGGAATCTCATTTGGTTTTTCTTGAACAATAGCTGTTCACTTCTTGTGGGTTGCTTTTTGTTGTCTTTTTTATTTATTTCTTACCCTACCTATCTCCAAACTGTTTGATATTTTTCATGAATTGTTTGCTTGGAGTATCTCCAGTAAGAATTGTTACCTGGATCCTTAAGAGATTTTTCTTGACAAAGGTCTAGTCGTGCCTGTTACCTCATTTTCACTGCATTCATATGAAGCCTTTCATAAGCTTATTAAATAGCTCATGTATTACAATATGAGGATTGTTTGATTATTTGTAGGTCTTTTCTTCTGTTGCAGAGGCGACCTCCAGATAACTCATTTTATGTAAGAACATGTAACAAGAATCCAAAGAAAACAAAATGGTGGTATCATGGTAAGTATTTAACTAGGACCAGGGATTTTGAAGATTTTTTCAGGCTGAAGGCAATTAAAATGTAGGAAAGTAGGATAAATGCATTTAAAGCCTTAAACTCATTTTTAAATTTCAAAAAGTTATTAAAATCCTGTTTCTGAGATACTCTGCTGTGATTTTTTTCATATCACATTTTAGTAATTCCTGATGGAAATTTAAACAGCACAGATTTGTATGTTTTAAATTGTGGGATTGAATTTTAATGAAAGTGCTTGTAAACTGTATTAGTCCATGACAAGTCTCAAGTTTGGGGTTGAGGAAGGTTCATAATGAAACTAGGTTTAGCTCTAAACCTAGAGCTCTAGCTCTTTTGTTATTGTTGGTAACACTTTAAGAGCTTTTACAGCAATTAAAAGATGCCTATACGTTTGTAAAGAGCTGAGTGTTTTAATAGTTTTCCGCTGCTGATCGGAATTTCCAATGTGGGACAGTTGGCTAACTTATGGCTCTTAAGAACTAATAGTAATATAGTAATAAGACTCTATATGTACCTGATTAAAAAAAAAACCCACACCAAAATTGCTACATAGAGTACTACAGTGTCTGCAATGATAGTGTTATATTGGTTTGGTTTCAGTAGTTTTTGTTTTGTTTGGGCTTTTTTTTTTTTTTCCTTTATGTGTGCTCTCTGTCTGGCTGTTATACTGTGCGGTTTCTTTCTTCTGCCTCAACGTTCTCATCCTCTTCCTAGAGCTGGGGTTGGCTGTATGTTCTTGTCTTATCCACTCCATTGGTGAGGAAAGAAAGGAGGAAGGGGTAGAGACAGGCTATACTTTTCTTCTCATTTGTTGGTCAATACTTTCTTTGCTTTCCCTAGGAAAATATTACACAAATGGCAATTATTGGAAGCCCATGTATTTTGGGAAGGGATGTGTTAGACCAGGTAATAGCATATGCGAGGGTGGTGCAGGAGGAGTTGGTCCCGTCACTATGTTTCACTGAAGGCTCCATCGTAAGACATCCTCTGTTTTTCACTGCTTTCCCACCCTGGGACATGGTCTGTCCCCTATGTGAAATGAGACCAGGTATTTTGAGACAATAGGAGTTAATTACTGGAGAGGCAAATGCCAAAGCCTTCACCCTTAGATTCTTAAAAGCCCGTGGATGCCTTAACAAGAGAAACTTGAGAGTTTCTTCATGAGCTGAGACCCATGGGTTTTTTGATATATGGTAATGTAACAGAATGAAAGTCTGTTTCTCATAATACTCTGATAGTATATCTCAAACAAAGTGACTTCAATTACAGTAAGAGGAGAGCTATATGCCATGGGATTAAGAAGTATTTAAGAAACTTAGGACTGTTTATTGTGTGGTCGTACATTATGTTGTTTTTAAAATTGACTCCAAGAACAGTAAGCCTATTGCCTGTGAGGCTGGGGTTTTTCACTGTCACCAGATTATTTGATAGTCACTTTTTCTTCTTTTTCTGTTTTCACACTCTTGTAATGTTCGATGCTTCTCCATTTCTAGTTTTGCTTTCTCTTTATTGGCAATTTTGGGAGAGTTTTTTATTAACTTTTTTTTTTTGTTTTCACTTGCTAGTTATTTTTAAAGAGAAACAAGTAAAGTTTCATTTATTGACTTTATCTTGTGACTAAAATATGTTCTGTCTACTTTGAATTTGTTTTAGTCTCATTTTGATTCAGGATTGAAGTCTATCAAGGAGAACAGTCTGCAGATACTACTTTGATTTCATATTCATGAAATTCAATTTGAGTTAAACAAGCAAAACACCAAATGAGTATGAAAAGAAATGTGGGTTATCTTACTCTGGAAGCTGCAATATAATTGTGGCTCAACACCATCAGGCTGCTTATAGTCCACTAAACAAGTCATTTAATTACTTTGAAGTAACTATGCAACGTCTGTTTTCTGAAAGTCAGAAAACCCTACCCCTCCCCAAATACAGAGCTACCTAAAAGGCAGCCTGTGGTGAGAGAAAGCAAGTCACTTCATTTAAATAACTTGTACTATTTTGCTTCGTAATATCTTCATTTGTTTTTAACTCTCTTTTTAAGTACTAATTACAAAGGAGGTCATGATTAAAAGTTCATTGGGCTTTTCCCCTCCACCGTTAAAGTCTTACATTAAAAAATAAAACGTGCCCACTGGACACAAATTTTCTTAAATGCTAGAAGGTTTTTCCTTCAAGTTTTGTGTGTCACAAAATTACAAGTAATTTTGTTTCTCTTCTGTGGACATAAACCAAGACTGTCAAGGCACAATCTTTAAATTTTCAATGTTTTCTTAATGAGTTTGAAGAAATAGTGGGTTACACTAGCAGACAAGCTACACTTCCCATTTGAATTTTAACCACTTCTCTCTGGAAAAGAACTGTCTTCGATGTTATGTACACCTGGAAAGATTCATAAGCCCTTGGAAAAAGTGATTCTTGGAAAAAGTGACTCTGTCACCTTCATTTTCTGCTCCTGCTTCAACTAAATTGTCACATATATAATCTTGTGGTTGATACACTTTTGGGCTGGGTAATTTAGTGGAATAAAAACAATCCCAACCAAGAAAGAAAACCAGCTGTCCGAGGGTAACCACTGAGTGAAATACATGCCAGTGCTAACGCACGTGTGGAGGGAGATGCAAAGTGGTTCCGCCCCTTCTTTTGTCAGCTAGCTATTGGACTGGCTTAGCTTTTATGTGAAATTGAATCCCTGTGTTTTGATGAGAAAGGAGTAAGACTGTCATCACTTTTAATATATGCATTTGAAGGAAATATTTTTTTTTTTTCCAGTGAGTGCCTGGAATTTATTTAGCTGGGAGCAAATAGTGCATGGTTGGGAGCTGATGTAAAGCAAACCAATATGAACACAGAGGGATAAAGTGGCACTTTGAGATATATTCTGACACATAAACAAATGTCTCTGTGCATTTACCTTATTACAGAATTTTTAATCTGTAATTTCATCCCTGACCCAACAAAGCAACTTATTTCATAAGCAGAGTTATGGGTCTTGTTTACTACAAACTGATGTGCTTGCAAGCCCTCTTTCAATACTACTGATCTTTGATAACTAAAAATATTTCTAGATTGTTTGCCCTACCCAATGTCTGCTTCCATTGTACATTGAATTTCATGTTGAATTTTAATCTGAGAGTTGATCATGTTGTGTTAAAGGCAAAGGAGGATCTTCCAGATACAGTTCTCTTGGGCATCCAGACTGAAATTGCTTTCATAGAGCTATTGCCTGGCTTTGATGTTGTCAGGAGGTAGATTTTTGTGAAAAAAGAGGGCAATGGTTGGTTGTTTTCAACCAGCACCTCCTTACTGCTTTTGGGTTTTGCTTTTTTTTGGAGGGGGGAGGGGGGTTTGTTATTTTGGGATTTGTTTGTTTTTTTTAACTAGGAACTGTTTTCGCTGGTATTTGGCCTAAGCTTTTAGTACACCATCTAAATACCCCTTCTATGTGTCTTGCATCCTTGTCTAATCTTTTTTATATTTACAGTACCCTATGATGAAAATGAAGAGGTTTTTTACATGTAGTAGTATTGATGATGTTTTCCAATGAGAATGTAGAATTGTTGGCTGCTACTTTATAGATACTAAATCTGTAAATAGTAAAAATACCCTTTATGAGGCTACATTTTCTAAGTGTGTGGGATTACAAATAAGTGCATTAAAAGTAACCAGACAGTAAGTTTGCTTTCTATTAACAAGCTTAATATTTACTGTTACCAGATGCAAATGTACTGCAGGTTGAGGTGTGGAAGAGAAACTTTAAAAGGGAGACCTTTCACAGACAAATATTTACTTTAATATTGAGCATAATGCAGAAGAGATTGGCAGAGAATACTTTTTTTTTTTGTAATATGGTCTGTCCAATCACAGTATCTAAAATTTAGTGAATGTAAGTTATTTTCACATTTAGGATTTTAGAATTATAGTAGTAACCTATTATTTTTGCATAATTCTGTCAGCTATAGTTCATGTTGATCCTTGAGAAATCAGTGAAAATATATATACATTTATATCTATAGAGGGTTGAGAATGCATCAGGAGAAGCCCCCTCTGACAGCTCTTACCACTAGATATTCCTTATAAAAGGATTTCTCCATTTGATAGCTGGTGTGGACCTGCCGCACTTCGAGGGGGCAAAATGTTAAGCATGTTTGGTCTTTCAGTTTCCTGATGAGTGGCTTTCTAAATACCGAGTATGGAAATTACTGTCTTTTTAATGGAATATTTGCTAATACTAATATGCTTGGGGGTGTATGTGTATTTTGGAAGTTTTATGTTTGATATTCTCTTTTTCCTGAGACGTTATTGAACAAAACTGCAGAGTTATTCAATCGGTGTATTTCCACTGCATGTTACTGTCTATGCTAGGAATTATTTCTACGTACAGCACCTTGCTAATTTGGACTTAGAATGTTTATATGTTTTCCATAAATGCTCTTCTTTTATTTTAAAGATGACACATGTTGATGCCACCATTTTGTGATCCTCGTAGCAGAAGATAGTCCTACTGAGAAAATGAGCACTTTGATCATTCAGTCTTTGAACTTTAACCTTTGACTGGAAGTGACCTATAGGCAATGAAGACTACTTCCTTTGACTGCATTTTTACTAGTGTGCATTCTGGGCGCATGTTGATCGCTGGTTCAGTCCATGCAACTGACATGCTTTTATTAGTCATACAGTATTAATGCAGGTGTCCAGAAATGTCAGAATAATTCCATTATTTTTATTTTAAGCTTTTGGAAGAATTCCAGGTCTTCATATATTGTGCAATAACACTGAGCTCCTTGGCGGTTTTGGTGCATCCATTGCCGGCAATGGACATTGTACCAGGGAAAGGTTTTGCTCCTGCCACAAAAAAAAGATTCGTGCATGACAGAGCTTATGAAAGTTTCGGATATATTTGGATTATAAGCAAGGGATCTACCATTACCTTAAAAGCCACCCCATTCTTTTATATTTGGATTCTATGCACTGTGATCACAAAACTAGCAGCATGAGTTAACATGCTTAGCTGAAGGACTGTAATAAGATCATTGCATATTTATTAAATTGTTTATCTGCTGTCAAATTGTTTTGACATGGAAGGTTTTTCAAGTGACATTGGCAGAGAGGTACAATGTTATCCCTATGGTGAAATAAAACTACTTTTTGTATATAGTTATTCATATCTCTGAAGCAAAGGTATGAGTAATTTAGGGTATGAGTGATTTAATCAAGAATTTATTTTGGAGATAGGAGAGGATGGCAGTGATATAACTGAATTTGCTGCAGTCCGTAATTGGGCTTGTAATTTGTACTTTAGAGCTTTTTCCAAATAGATTGCACACTGTTATTTCCTGCTAGCCATCAGCATGAGCCCTACTGCCTACACCAATATTTCATTTATTTATGTGTTTGAAAGCAATCCATATAACATTTTTTGTTTGCATTCACTGTTTCTTTTGTTGTTGTATGTCATGTTTGAATGTTACAAAACAATATTTTGATTGAAAAGCTTTGTCAGAAGATATTTTCATGTAAATTATTTCTTTATCTTGTAAGCATCATCTTGTCTTTTAATCCTGTACTATAAAAAGAAAAAAAAAATACATTTTTGACAGAGGCTTAATGTTTTGACAAAAAAGTGTGGACCTTCTTATTTAAGTTTAGACTAAAGTATATTTTCTTAACTTGCTTGTCCCCCCCAGCCATACCAATTTTTTTTTTCCAGGCTTTTACTTCACCAAAAAAGGGGGAGAAGCCTAAAATCAGATTGACATTTTTCTATGGAGCAACATTTACTGAAATTATAGTTGTTCTCACCGCTCTAATATTTTGATACCGCAATTAGGTTGTCTTTTTAGGAAGCACTTTTATAAACTTAATAACACATATGCAAAATTTCTATAACTTTTTTTTACTGTTGCCTTATTGTTGCACTCAAAAAAAATATATTCAAGCAATTAATGCATGAATGTCTAAATCAAGTAACTACTTGATTTAAAAACAAACAAAAAAAAGCCCCCCCCCCCCCCCCCCCAAACAACCCCAGACCCAACCCGGAATGAATAACTACCATAACAAACAAAATAAATTGGCTGGAAATTCTGATTTTTTTTTTTTTCTTATTGCTGTATGATAACTGACAAGTTTTATAGCCTTGTACATACTTCTCTGTTACATAATGTTTAAAACCTTTTAAAAAAGTATAGATGCTTAACTCAGGGTGGATAGAGTTCAGGTGGATTTGCTTCAGAGAAGTATTTTGTACAGCAGCTGAATTATGGATATTATCAGTGAAGTGAGACTACAATATACTTCAGGAACTGCTATTTTTTCTACTGTATTGAAAATATCTCTTGGCCTTTAAAACTCAATGGTAAAATCTAGCTTTGGATATAAATTTGATGTGTGTGTATATATTTTCACAATGAGCCTTTAAAACTTAGAATTCAGTTTCTTTTAAGAGCCAAAAATAATCATTTTAAGCAAATGAAATAGTTCTGCTCCTAATTTTTTATTTAGAGAAATTTTATTGTTGTGAGTTAATCAAACTGGTTATTTTTGGAAACGGTTCATATGAAAGAGCAGTAATCTGATACTTAATCTGTATATTCATGTTAACTGCTCTGTGTTGATTGAAATGATTGCATCTTCGAGAAATTCATGTATGAATGGTTCACACAATGGATCCTTTCAAATAGTCCACAGGAAAGAGACCTTATTGTGACACAAGGTAAGGTCTCTGGAGAAACGATTCAAGTACATCTTCTCAGATTCATGTATCTTTTCATGTGGTGGCTTGCCATACTGCAATACATGGTTTCAGAGAAGCTTTGTGATATACTGTATGTATTTTGTTGAAGATGTGCGTTGTAGTGCAAAGCATTATACATTTTATTGTTCTATGCTATCACATGGACTACAATGAAGTTAAATAATGAAATTTATGCTGCTCTTTAATAACCCCACCTATGAAATACTTAGATCAAAAAAAATGCAAGGTAGATTAGAAGAGAATGTACCTCAGGTCTTTTAGTTTACAGTAGAAATGCCTCCACTGGTTCTCTTGTAGATCTGTGGGTAAGTTCACCTATATGCAGAGGGCCAAGACAAAGCCTATATACCACTCAAGCCCTCAAAATAATGCAACTATTCTGACAATGCTATGATGTCCTGAAATAGGGCTTGAACTAGATGAAGGTGGTGCCACCCTTTCTGTAGGGTGACCCTGTGTATGTAACTTCCTTTCACTTGGAATTTCTTACATGAAATGGTTACAGAATTGGCTTGAAACGATCTTGCTTTTATTTTGTGTCAATGTTCATGTTGTTAAACACATTGTTTTGTGTTTAGTGTCTTTATACTATAACACAATAAATTCTTGTTTTAAAATAGATTACTACCCTTGAATGGAAATACGTGTGGACCTTTTCATGATGGAGTGCAGAAGCACTGTTCCTTACATTCAGCTACTCTTGACAAAGCTGTCAGTAATTCCAAAATGCTGTGATGGGTATCAAGGGAGGAGTTTTGATAATAGTGAGGTGTTTTCTCTTTTCTCCAGAGAGTATCTGTTTTAACAGCTGAAGGAAATAGTTTATTTAGGAGAAAAAAAAAAAAATCACTAAGATGTAGTGGTTTCATTTCTCATAGATGATGAAATAGTTCTTTGCCATTTGACAAACAGTTCAAATATTGAATGGGAAGTTTCAGTTGCAGAATTCTTGTTTGCTTCCAGTGGTGGGAAGAGAGTTTATGTTACTTTGTTAGCATATGTCAGGACTGCTAAATGAAACTTTTGCTGCCTCATATCATTAGTTGCTTTCAGTTTTGTACATTTTTTTTATTCAAGACATGATGGCTTCTGTTTCTGAAAAAGTAAGGCACTCTCTTCATACCTAAAAAACTATTTTTGTGAAAAATTAAGTGTTTTTAATTCACATATCATATGTTATGAATACTGTTCTGGATGTTTGATTTTTAGTTACTACTTTTATTTGAAGGTCTGACAAAATACAGTTTACATCTCAAGTTTTAAAGTTATGGTCTAAGGAGACGATAAAATTCCCATGTCAGTAATTAAATTTTAAAGAACAGATTAAACAAATGTCTCTCAGGAAAGGTTTAAATATAATGGATAATAGACTTCCCAGTCCTATTTTTGGTGATATTTTTTGGTATAGGTAAATATTTATTGAAATGAATTAAGTTTTAAAAATGAGGGGGAAAAAAATCCACCTGTTGCACTCATGTTTCTTAGAACATGTCATGTTGATATTAAAAGCTTTGTGATAGTGCAGCTATATAATTTCTGGCTTCCCCCCAACAAAGCTAGTATAGTTTTTGCCTTCTCTGGTAAAGCAACTCAGCATTATGTTGTGCTTGCACAGTCACAAATCCTGATCATTCTGAATAAATTGGTTTGAACGAACTTTCTAAAACCAGTTACTTTTAATCCATATAACTCAAACCAGTTTGGATTTGCCCTCATAAGCAGTGGTACCTGAACAGTTGAGTGTTGAACTGGATGAGGGGAATTAAGCTGCTTTAGTGATACTCTGGCTGCAGCTACACAGCAGGGTGGGAAGGCAGGTTTGGGAATGGTTTGTGTGCCAGGTACTTGTTGGCCTATTGTTTCCAGGACTTCTATGAACATTCCAAACCATCAGGCTTTAAAATACCTTAACAAAATTGGAAGAGTGAAAATGTCATGAGCCTTCTTTTACTATGTTTACTATAGAAATGTAATTCAGAAATGCAAATTTGAAAGTACTTAGCTCTGCTTTTATTTCATTTTACTGATAATAGCGACGCAGGATATTCTGTTTGCTTGCCGTATTTTTTTTTCCTACAGATTTTAAGTACTTTTTAAAGTAGTGTTTGAGGGGTTTTGAGCAGTTGATTCAACTTTAAGTTGGAGCTACTTAAAGTGAGGGGTTTTTTTAAATTACAAAGCAAGAGTATTTTCATTAACTTTAGTTCCAAAGTAATTGCTATCATGAAGTGGCTTCCTTAGATACCTGTGTGGGTTTCATTCAGATAATTATTTTGTATTTGAAAAACAAAAACTAAATGCAAAATCAATTGATCATGCGGTGTATGATATCAGTGTAGAGATCAGATTGATAAGCCTCTGTCCACAGTCTTTTTTAGTGTAGTACTAAACAGGAGCTCTTAAGGTGTGTATCAGTGATTGTAGGTTAGATTGTATTTAACTCCCTTCAGTTCATGTGTCTTTTGAAGTGTCCTTTTTCTCTTGACTTCTGCTGGTGAAAGAGCTGCTTACAAGAGACTCTATTTTTCTGGAATAGGAATCCACTGAAGAACTGGAAACCATAATAATAGCCTCAAAGAAAGATGTTACAATCTGAAATCCTGTAACACTGACCACAGTTGCTTCCCTCATGCTGGTTTGTCTTTTGGTATTTAACATCTCCATAAGACCTTAAAACATGTCTTCAGCAGGTGGGAATCTATTCTTTTGGAGTCCTTTGGAGTGCTCTCTACCAACTAGGTCAGGGTTAAATCTGTTCAGATGAACTTTCTGGGCCCTTTCTCTTCCCAGGACTGCAGTATTATCTGCATGGTGCTAATGCAGTTCTCCAGGGCATTTTATCCTTAAAGATAACATCAAGCAGGAGTCCTGCTATTCAGTGTCTTCTCTTAGTTTACTGCCACTGAAAAGGAGGAATTTGTACTCCTCCTCCATCCTTTCCTGCCTCAATGATTCACATTCCTACCTTGCGTCTAACTTTATTGTCTTAGTTTGCACTGAGATGATTTAGCATGTTAAACCAGTCAGAAACTGACTTGAGAAGAAAAAGTGAAAATCTTTCTTCTCAATTAACAAATCGAATCAGCTTGCTGCATAATCAAGCGCTTCAGAGCTAGTACAAGAAATGGAAAGGATTGTGCAGCTGGGGTTTGGGAGGTGATGGCTGAAATCTGATTTGCATCTTTAGACTTTTATGCATAATGTAAAGTACTAGAAACCTTGTTTTATGCAGAAGCTGAGTTATGTGCTATGAGAAGCCCGAGAGCTGGAAGTCTGGACTGCCTATGACAATCTGGCAGAGGATTCTCCTATCTGTTGTAACTCTGTTTTCTAGTAAAAATTATGAAGTTGTTCCAAAGCCTCAAGTGATCTATTACCTCTCAATTTAGGTGCCTTCAGTTTATGTGCCCAGGATATTTTTGGTTGGCTTTTTTGGTTTTGTGTTTTGTTTGTGGTTTGGGTTTTTTTTGGTTTTGGTTTTTGGTTTTTTGGCAGTTTTTTTGAAATAACAAGGCTGCTAGCATTGCTCCATGTGGATGTTTTTGGTTAAGTTTATCAGACCAACATTGTCAAACCTTAATCTAATCTAGAATTACAGATTCAGTGAAGCTGCTCAGAAAAATGCCCAGTTATTTTCCAAAAGGAAGGCAGTCATTATGTTACAAATCAGATGTTCTTGAGATGAGATAGAAAACCAAATGTGGTACAGTCATCTTCTAACATGGAAAACACTTGAGACAGAAGTCACGGATACAAATCTCATTTGTCTATTGTAAGCTTAAAGAAGAGGACTTTTGCACTGTGGTAGGAGGTTTTCAAGACGAAACCACACTGTTCCTCATCTCACCCCTTCTTCTGAAGGTCTTGTTCAAAAGATGGATGAAACCTGATGGTTTTGATCTCAGTTTATTTGTACTGGGTCAGTAAAGGGTGTGTGACAGCTGTCGTTCCGACTGGTGACAAAGGGCGAATAGCTCTGGACTGTCTCTCTCTTACTCTTTAAACTGTCCATATGTCTACAGAAAACATTGGTAGCTATATTTCACATGCACAAAATAAAGTGCACCTTTATTTATTTGGTGTAGACAATTTATTGAAGATTAGTACTCTGAAAGTAGCAGTATGGGAAGTATACAACATGAAGTAAACAAGTCATGACCGATGAAGATTTTCCAGATGATTTAGAGTATATTGAGCCTGAAGTCTTGATTTGCATAAGGATTTGAGTTTATGAGGAA